CTGTTATAGTCTTTTAAAGCTTCCTTATTTTGCAGTCTTGTTTTTAGGCAGAAAGAAATGGTTGTACCCCCATTGTCCTAGAATTTATGAAGATGACTAATCTTAAATACTCCAGAAATCTTTTCATCCTGACCTTTCTGCGAGAGAAAAGCATCTTAGAGGTCATGTTGATGATGGTCCCTCACCTCTCATCTGGCCTCCCCTCTGACCTGTCACTCCACTCTCTTGAACCTATTCTTCACTGGGAATTAATTGCTTCTCTCTCCAACTTAGAGACTATGAGTCTCTTTCACTCGTTGTAGCCCCATTTCGTTTCAGCTCTCCCCTGGACAAGTAAGAATAGCAATGGTAGCTAGAAGATTCTCACCAGGAATGACTGAGAGAATTTTAAGGTTCTGAAACAAACTAATTATGGTCATACAGTGGTTACCTGTTTTGCAATCCCTGCTATGGTGGCAGGGCCTAGTTTAGAGGAACTAGTGGGCTGGAGTCATTCTTGCATTTGCTCCTTGAACAGAAGCATTGGTCAGCTAGCCTTGGAAAATGCAGCTTGCAAGAAGGAACCACTCACCTTTTATAAAGAAAATGACTAAGAAATCTTAGCTTCTGTTTGTTGTGCACTGCCTGGCAAACATAGTCCTTTAGTTTAAAGACCTTCATCTCCTGTTTCCTAAATTCATCTTCTCATCCCCTTTTCTTCCTTGGAGCCTGCCCTTGTGTACTTATATAAAATGACCAGCTCTTTCTGAACCCTGCCTCGAGGTCATCTTTATTTCCTGCTCTCATTCTTCCTGCAACCACAAACACCATAAAATCAACCTGTGAGTTGTCCTCAAGTAGGAATTTCTGTTTAACCCTAATGTGCAAATCATGTCTGTATAAATAACACCCAGCTTTCTGGTATATTCCATCAGATTCCTCTCCCCACATAAATTTGCCCTGGTCTCAGCTAAGCCATCTGTACCTCCTGTTCCTAGAGCTGAAGAAGTGAGGACTCCAAAATGCAGATCAACCAAGGGAGTCCCCACAGTGTTGGATAAGAAGGGTCTCTGGGGAGCTGTCTCCATTTTCAAGGCTCAATCTCTTGAAAGAAAGTGATGTCATTAATTTTCTCCTATTATTTTCACTGCTTAAAATTCTAGTGGTGACAATGACTATAATACAGGCTATGAAATCTTACCTTCAGCAGTGTGGCTGCCTGTTTCATGGTTACAGCTTATAGAAAACAAACCTCAGGAACAACATGGCGATTTTGAGGCATCCACCTGACTCCCCACCCAGCCTCCTTTCCTTGCACTACCTGGGCCATTCCTGGCTTATCTTTCCCCTTCTCTTCTACCTTGAATGAGCCATTTCTTTGGCAGTTCCCAGGGATGCTCTGACATCAAGGGACTCACCTACCTGATGTCAGCTGTCTTGCTTGGAAGAATTTTAGAGCAGACACCAAGATTGACAAGCTGGTTTCCATGGTACCCAAGCATTTCTCTGAAGCCTGGAGGAAATTGGTTCTTTTTTCCAATTCGTTCCTGTTTGTTCACATTTAGCCCAGCTGCAGAACACATGGAAACACGTTGGAACACATGGTAGCCAAGGATAGCTTTGAATGCACGTGGGCCAAAGGTCAGAACCCCTGCCCAGCCCCTGCTCAGTAAATCTGGGTACTGACCACCCACATGTGGTCCCTGGGCCATCCCAGTGCCTGGCCCCAAACACAGCTAGCAGAGCCCAGAAAGAAGAGCTGCTTACCCAAAACTTGTTTCAAAGTTCCAATTGGGAAAAGGCTGACTCTGATCCAAAGGCTCCAAAAGGAGGCTAGGTTGCAACTCACATTGAGGATTAAGTGTTGTATAGATGATGACTTGTCCCCAAGGAAAAGAATTAAGCAGAAGCTACTCCTAGAATACCACCTTGATCCATGACAGCAGTAGGTTGACTGTACATTCTTCAGTAGGCTGTATGCCTTGAGGTACTTCTCCTTCCAGGAGATTTAGTGGAGCTTTGAAAATGGACTTGAACTGACTTCACTTTTACTTCACTACCTTGGCAGGGTAAATATGGATGGCGGGTCGGAGCATGAGCACCACCTAGTGGTGACTAGGTGGAACTTAGGGTGCAGTTGCTTGTTTTAAACAAGAATAAATGATTTCAGATTTTCTTCTACACTAGGAATACCAAAGTGGTTGTGGGTTGTTTTGTTCTCTATTATTACTAGGGCATAAAAACAGAGGAATATGCATTAATTATCTCAATATAATTAAAATACAATCTGTAAGGAATAACAAATCCATTCCCTCCAACCATCAGCAGCCTCAAGCAAAAGTCATACCTTGTCATTTTAAAAGCTTTCAGATAGAATGATTTTAATGCCCTATCAGGATGGCCCAGCTTGTCCTCTTCCAAGGGAACGTTCTGCAACCTATGGCACTTTCCTCATTTTCACTATTTCTGAGAACTGATTAGCCACCCCACCTCCTCTAAATACCACCACCAAATGTTCCCTTCCCCGCCCCATTCTCACAAGAAACGAGCCTATTTCCATTTTTTTTCACAGCCCTGATTTCTAGTCCCTTTCATTCATTTTATTGTTCTTTTCTGAGACTCTTCTTTTCTCTTAAAGTGCAATCCTCTAAAAGCACAGAGATAAACCTGAACCTGTTTGCTCCTCAGCCACAAGGCAGCTAAGTCCTCCCGCCTTTGTGGAGGCCTCTGCAGCAGCAGCAGCTGTGTGCCCTGAGTGATGGGTGTCTTTATGCCAGGCGGAACGATCAGAGGGAAAACTCCATCTATCGTTCAGAGTTTCCCAGCACTCTTCTATTTATTAGAACCCACAGTATGATGACCTCCATTTCTCTTTCCCTGTCAGCTTTCCTGAATTATATCCCCCTCTTCCTTCTCTGGCTACAACAGTCCTTTGGGCTCATGATGCTTTATTGGGCTCCCTCTAAACTATTTTCAGTTTGAAGGCCTTTGTAGAATTCAGCCCATTCTCATCCTTTTCCTTGATATGATCATTGAAATAATCAATATCACAGCCATATTGGTCCATGGCTGGTTCCTAGAAAGTACACAAAAAGTAATTTTGTGAGTGCCAGGGTAACTGAACTCCCAGTGACAACTCTGTAGGTTCTGTGCTCCTATCTATGGGGATCACATAGAATAAGAGCTTCCTAAAACTGCTTTCCTATTATATGATATAGCTGAATGATAGAAGAAAATTAAATTGGCCTGGTCTGATAAGCTTTTTCCCTGTATCTTATATTCTCTTAAGTGACTATGAATTGATTGTTCCAACCTACTGCTAAGAGTAATATTGAATTAACTAATTAATAAAAAATGTTCCCATCTTAAATAATTTGGTCTGTTCCATTATTTCTTTATAACAATTTTTTTCAAGCTAGTGAGTATACAAAACAACTGTGAATGACTTCCAGGGAATGAATTCCATGCCATCCAGCCTAGATTATGGGATTGTTTCTTTTATTTCTTTCATTCTCTTCCCATTCTGGCTTGGCATTTTCATCCAAATGTCAACTTGTTGAATTTGATGACAAAGACAAGAGTAACAAAAATGATAAAGCCAATGTCTTTTTTTCAACAGCTTGTTAGAAAGAATGATTTACAAATAAGCATGGCTCCTTCTGCCTCATCTTTCTCTTGGACCTTTAAGATAATTAGAGAGCTCTTTGTACGTATCTTGTGGGCTGTCTTTGAGGTACTGGCTGCATCTCAGCTTAGCTGGTGATTATTATAATCACTGGGGACTGAAAGGATGCCCACATCGTTAGCTACATTTACTGTCTTGGTGTCATGATGACACTTTATACCCAAATTATCCTGCAAGCATCTGCCTTAGAGTCTCCAGAGGGTTTCTGCCTCCAAAGGGAGTGCTACTCAAAGATGACCATCTCAGAGCAGTGCTCAGAGCAGTTGTAGTTCGTGAGTGTGGAAAGAAAGAGCTATGAACCAGGTCCAGGACTTCTTGCTGAAGTAACACATGTGTACCCATTTTATTTATTATTTATTTCTACAAGATATTTGAGCAAATAAATGTATCATGAAAAAAGAGCCAGGACTGAGTTCTAGAACCAAGTCTATAATAAATTGAGCACCCCTGGAAAATTACTTGTTTTCTGCAACCAGTTTCCTGACATAAACCAAAGGATTATGCCAGTTCTTTTTCCTTGCAGTGGGAAATGATCTTACATGGAGTATGGACTAGGGCTTAAAGTAAATCCTGTTGTCTATGCTGTCCTGATTCTAACTGAAAAGAAGAAAACCTCAGTTTAGCACTTACGTCTTTCACTGCTCTGACTTGCCTTTGTTTCCTGCCTTAACAACAAGGCAGGCTCATGGCACAGGGACTGTGCCCACAGGGTCCAGCCAGCATCTGCAAAATACTATTGTTATTGCATTTAGTTTTTTCAGGGTTCCCCTCTACATGTGCGTCAAGGGGTGCTGATTCTCCACTTCTGGTTGTGATGTAAGGTTTCCTCTGGATATAAATTATCTTATGAAAACAAAAAAAAAGTCAATTAAAATAAAAGCATTAAGTACATGGAATTTCAAGTGCTTGCATAAAAGCCATGAAGGGGATACACATTGCACTGAGATGTGCAGAAATCTCACAGGTTGCACATAAGGGACCTGCTGAGCTCCTACCTCAACTTCCTGACCTAAATTCCACAATGTGTCTTGCTTTAGAAAGTGGAGTAGTCACCTTTCCTGGTTATTCCACTGTTGTACAGAAATTGCAGGGAGAATGGGATTACCTGAAGCTTCTCTCATCTGTACATGCGCCACCCAACACGAATCTGCCAACACCACCTCCTTCCACAAGTACTGGCCAAAGACTAAACCAGTGTGAACAGAGTTTGCCCACAGGTGGCTCATTACCACCATAGCAGCGAAAAAAGTGGACAATGTGCCATCCTAAAGCATGGTGTGTGTGTGTGTGTGTGTGTGTGTGTGTGTGTCTAATCTTCTATCCTTTTTTTTCACAGTTCATTTATGATGAAAAGGTCTCTTGGTAAGTACCTCTTCTTCCTTTCTCATTTTTTTTTTCTTGTGCTGCAGAATCAAATATATTGAAGACTAGAGTTAGGGTTTAGAAGAGAAAAGAAAATATCATGACAGCTTAAAACAGCTAGAATTTCTTGGAAACTCTATCCACCTTAACAAAGACATTAAATTAGCTCTTACCAAACAGATTTTTGCCCTTGAACTGGGATAGTAGGGTTCTATTTGGGGTATTTATATCTAGATGATATTACCGTCCAAGCTGTATGTTATGACCTCTTTGTATCATTCTGTAGTGAGTTATTTGCTAGGCCACGGTTAAGATTTGGCTAATCTTTCCAAATTATATCTGTGTTAGTCAGCTTCCCATTTCTATAACAAAATACCAAAGATGAAATCAACTTATAAAGAGAAAAATTTTATTTTCACTCACAGTTTCGGGCATTTTAGTCCATGATCAGTTGGCCCTGGTGCATTTGGCAGCATCATGGTGGGAGTGGGGGGCAGAGCAAAACCACTTACTTTATGACTGAAAAACAAAAGAAAGAAGAAGGGGATGTGGTCCCACTATCCTCTTCAAGGACATACCCATAATGACCCAAAGGCCTCCCATTAGGCCATGCCCCTTAAAGGTTTCGCTACCTTCCAGTTGTACCATGCTTGGAATCAAGCTTCTAATAATCCAGACCCAAACTGTAGCAGTATACAAACCAAGTTCAGTATTCTAAATCTCACAGAGGTCTTAGAAGTCAGGATCCAGGCACATCAGTGACCTTTACCTACTCTAACTCATTAAAGTTCTCCCTGATATTCAAAAAAAATCTTAGGGCTCTGAAAATCAGTTATTTTTTATAGAAAAATTTGCCTAAATTATATGTATGGAAGGGTATTTGCATTTTGACCAACTGTCCAAATCCCTATTCTTGAGATGAGTTCTGAGCAAGTCAAATGTTTGAAATGGAAATGGAAATTGATTGTGCTGTGCTTTCTTGTTACCTTTTTTTTTTCAAATATTTGATCTACAGAAATAGAATAGTGTGAAATAACTTCTTAGGAATAGGAATGACTCTGTAGTTATAAAAGGTTCATGGCATTACTTAAATCTAGGAATGAGCTGGAAAAAGAAGTAGAGTTCACCTAGCTTCACTTTCAGCAAAATGAAAGCTAAATCTTTTTCCTAACCCTTTGTTGGAGGGGCATCTCTATGTCTGAGGACATCCCTGGGATCTCCAGAGTTTGAGGGTAGCTGGGAACCTATCACATTGATGATGAATGTTGTGTACTATGACAGATATTAAGATACTTTTGCCAGCACCATTTACAATAGCCAAGCTATGGAAACAGCCAAGATACCCCACAACCAACAAACAGATCAAGGAATTGTGGTATTTATACACAATGAAATTTTACTAAGCTACAAAGAGGAATGAAATGTTGTCATTAGCAAGTAAATGGATGGAACTGAATAACATCATCTTAAGCGAAGTTAGCCAGGCTCAGAAGGCCAAAAATCCAATGCTCTCCCTCATATGGGGATTGTAGACCCAAAATAAATGTAGTAATATTACAGGACTTGGGTCACACACTAAGGGGAGAATGTGCACAGGAAGAACAGGGAAAGGAAAGGAAATCTAAAACTTGAATGTGGTTGATGTGCCCCCTGTTGAGGAGCGAATAAAGTAATCTTAAATTGGCAGAGGCCACTATGGGAAGGGGACCAGGAAATGGCAAAGAGGTCTGGTAGAGATGAACAAATGGGGGTTGCAATACACAAGTGCATGGAAGCAATGCTAGGAATATATATATTTATCCCAAACTAGCAAAAATGTGATGTCTTCCTCATTATCTCTTAAGTTTTCTCTTTAACATAATCAGAGAAGAGGGCAGAACAGGTTCTGCCCAGGAGGAAGGGGAAGGGGAGGTGGCACAAACAATGTATACCCATGTAAGTAAAAGTAAATAAAAGGAGAAAAGAAAAAAAAAAGATTCTGTTCAAATGGTATATCCTAAAAAAAAATTAAAAAGATACTTTTGCCAACTCTTTCCTCTGTCCAAGAGGTGAGAGAAAGAGACAACCTAGAAGAATGTCCTTTAAGACACATGATCTCTACATTGACTTCTAATCAGGTCTTTTTTGAGTAATAGTGATCAACCACCTGAAAGGGATCTAAATGCCTGGAAAGATCCTATGTCATCATCCTGGGTGTGGTCACCCAGTGAGGTGGTGGCTTCCCTACCATGTCCTTAGGTATGAAGAGGACAAATTGCAGCACAAGAAAACTTCCAGAAGCAATCTCTCACAAGCTGATGGCACAATTAGCAGAACCACTGCTCGGCCATAGCAAATAGTAGGTGCTTTGGTACTGGTCAGTGTTGCCGGTCTTTGCTAATGATGCTCCATCACAAGTGACCTCAGGACTTGTTCTACTGCTGCTATGCAGAAAAATGTTAGGGAGAGCCAGGCCAGTGTGGTGGCTGTCCATCTCAAGGACGCTCACTCGGTGCCATCTCTATGGCATTGCTGCATGAAAACTGGCAGGAGGAGATGAAAGCAGGTTTTTAGGATATTTCAGGTAATAAAGAGCAAGAAAGGAAGACTCTATTTCCTCTTCATTCCAAAGGATTTTTTTCCCTGTGATATTAGTTGACCCCATCCTTGGGTAGAATCCCAAGCCCACAGGAAGAGTCTAGATTCTGTAAGGGAACAAGTCAGTAGGCCTTTGGTTTGAGCACCAAGGCCCCTGTACATGGAGTTTGGAGTATGGGACCAGGGAATCACAGATAAATGAATTGTAAAGGATGTGCCTGTTATAGTCTAAGGGATGTTGGAATCATAAATCATTCACAGCTGTCACTGCCAGGGAAGAGCTGAGTCAGGGGGCATCCAGGGCCCCCGAATAACATCATTCCCAGAGTGTCGGCCTGTTGCATAATTACTGTTATTACATGCATGAACTGACAGAAAGCATTTCTCACATGGGTGATGCTGAGAAATTAAAGCCTGCGCCACTGGCCCTTAACTGCTTTGGGACTTTCAGGGATTTTAACTCCTCATTTAGGGAATGCAAAATATATTGAACTTGAAGACATTTTTTACTGTTCACTTCTCCTGCCTTCTTATCCAGCTAATCGTGAGGCTCTGTTTTGCTGAAAGGGTTTTTGTAGGAGCTGATTTCTCTCTTTAAAATGAGATTCTTCAATCTGCGCTTTAAAGCACAGTAACATTTCGATAGTACTTCAAACAGTGAAATCCATTCCTGGCATAGACTATTCCACCATGACCTAGATATTTCAAGGCAGGTAATTAATTTACTCCAAATCTTCAAAAGAAAACTCATTTCACTTGTGTTTATTTTGAAACAAGAGGACTACTCTTTAGGAAGAAATGAGCTTTGCCAAATATAAATACATTTGTCCCTCAGGATCACTGGGGAATTGGTTCAGGTACCCCTGAAGATACCAAAATCCATAGATGCTCAAGCCCCTTATGAAATGTCACAGTATTTGCACACATTCTCTTGTATACTTTAAATCATCTCTAGATTACTTATAATACCTAATACCATGCAAATGCAATGTAAATACAAATAGCTGGTATACTATATTGATTGCAGAATAATAACAAGAAAATTGTCATATATGTTTGATACAGAGGAAGGGTTTTTTTAATCAAATTTTTTTTCTTTTATTATTCATATGTGCATACAAGGCTTGGTTCATTTCTCCCCCCTGCCCCCACCCCCTCCCTTACCACCCACTCCGCCCCCTCCCTCCCCCCCACCCCCTCGATACCCAGCAGAAACTATTTTGCCCTTATTTCTAATTTTGTTGTAGAGAGAGTATAAGCAATAATAGGAAGGAACAAGGGTTTTTGCTGGTTGAGATAAGGATAGCTATACAGGGAGTTGACTCACATTGATTTCCTGTGCATGTGTGTTACCTTCTAGGTTAATTCTTTTTGATCTAACCTTTTCTCTAGTTCCTGCTCCCCTTTTCCTATTGGCCTCAGTTGCTTTTAAGGTATCTGCTTTAGTTTCTCTGCGTTAAGGGCAACAAATGCTAGTTAGTTTTTTAGGTGTCTTACCTATCCTCACCCCTCCCTTGTGTGCTCTCGCTTTTATCATATGCTCAAAGTCCAATCCCATTGTTGTGTTTGCCCTTGATCTAATGTCCACATATGAGGGAGAACATAAGATTTTTGGTCTTTTGGGCCAGGCTAACCTCACTCAGAATGATGTTCTCCAATTCCATCCATTTACCAGCGAATGATAACATTTCGTTCTTCATGGCTGCATAAAATTCCATTGTGTATAGATACCACATTTTCTTAATCCATTCATCAGTGGTGGGGCATTTTGGCTGTTTCCATAACTTGGCTATTGTGAATAGTGCCGCAATAAACATAGGTGTGCAGGCAGAGGCAGTTTTTAAACAATATTTTCAATCTGTGGGTGGTTGAGCCACACCACAGGGCCAACTGTACATAAAACAAGGTATCCCATCACACATGGTTTAGATTCCTCCACCATTGCCAAAGCCCATTGTGCAATATGTTCACATAAGCCAAGAAGTGGTGTGGTTGGCAATTAGTGAGATATGCCTTAAATAGAAAAAACAGCTATATTGGCTTATTTTTCTGACATAGCAAGTATTCCAAATGTATCATGTACAATGGCTGAGTATTTCTCTTGGCCTTTACCCAGTTGTCCCAAGGATGGCTGCTGTGGTTCTAGTTGTCAAATTTGTATTGAAGACAAAAGGGAGAAATAAGGTGCTCTGGTGTCTTCCTCAGTACCCTTTCACCTTACATATCTTTAGTAACAACTAGGTCTGCTTTGGCCAATAGATGATCAGGCAGGAAATTAGAATTAGACCAATCACTGTTCATCTTCTGGGACTGAAGGCAGGGCTCACCTTCCTTGAGATCATTTGCAACATAGTGAGGTTCTATTCTAGGGCAAGAGACAAACTATTAGGTACCTATCCCCAAAGGCACTTATAATAGAAAGCATCAGAGAGCCACCTCTTAGGATATATGCTTATTCTGAAGAGCACAGTCCATGAATCCATGATGGCCACTCATTCAGGGTTGTGATGCTGCCACAGGAAATCTGGAATGTGTATTCCATGAGTCTGAGGGCCCAATATGAAAACTGAAGTACCCAGGATGATGGTTTTGTTTCTTCTTTTGTGTCTCAAATTGTAACTGTGGGGGAGATTCTGGGATCATCACCTGGAAACTCTACCTGGGTGGTGTTAAAAGAGTAGCCTCAGATACTCTGGGTCATGGTTAGGATTAGAGAGCAGTGCACACCAGGTACCAGCACAGAGCAGCCCTCCAAAGACCATCTTTGGCAAGAGAATCAGGAGCCAGTTGAAAGTGGTTCAAAATGAAAATTGGGGAAGAGCAGAAAAAAACCCGGATCATTCCACAGAACCAGATCCTTGGAGAGCAGCAGATGGAGTATAGTCTGGAGAGAAAGGTGGAGAAGATGCCTATGTCCTAGGCAGAAAGAAGCAAAGGAGAGCCATGTGACTTCAGAGGTCTGGATCTGGATCTGGTCTAATCCCAGACTCTTTCAGCACACCTCCTGTGTGCTGGACTCTTTCAGAACTGAACACAATAAAAAATCAAACACAACACTGACTTGGAGACTCTTATGGGATAGTAGGGAGGCAGACAGTTGACATGGAATCATGGGGTCTTTTCCAGATGCACATGGCACTAGGGAGAAGGGGACAAGAGGAAAGAATTCTAAAGAGCATTGCTGATGAAACAATCAAGCCATCAAAGCCAAGGGAACAGCAGGTGGATGGCCCAGACGTGTCAGGGAGCCCAGCTTGTCTAATGTGGAGGCCTTGAGTGAACCCTGTGTCTTGGTGTCCACAAAGTAAACTTGAAATGTTAATTAAAGCAGGTGTCCCATCCCACAGGCATCCCTGAAAAATGACCTAGGAGAACATGGTCTGAATAATGTGACAAAAGGGCTTGCTTTCAGCAAAGAAATAAAAAAGATCTAAAAGAATGAGAAAGAGTATAAATATAACTGTTTAGAAAGGTCTGGACTTAAGTCACCCTGGCTGTAATATTTTATTGAAGTTGGTTCATTTCCCAAGGACCTCTCACTGAGTGTATTAAAATGCATCTTTCTTCAAAATGAATGCCGAGAATAAAATCTTGCTTTCCTCGTGAATTTTAGGCTGCACATACATTTTCTTTAGGGGGTCATTGAGGTAGAAGTTACATTACAGCCATTTTACCAGTGATTGAAGGGGTACTAAACCCAGCCCTCTGAGAATTTCCACTGTTAGAGGAATAGAAAACTGTGGCAGAAATTGGAGGGATTTGGATACCCCGAGCACTTTCTCTGATGGATACATAAATGTTGGCAGAATCATTCTTAATGGAGGTGTGGTAGTGTGGTCGTACTTACAAGTTACATGCCACTCCCCATTTAATAACGGGCTTGTCCCCAGTTCTTCACTTTTATAACTGCTGAAGCAATATAGCCTTTTATACATGTACAAATGTGTAGTGTCCTTTATATATTTAGCCTGATTTTTCTCTAGGGTCAACTTCCAGACATGGATTTTGAAAAGGGTAAAAGACGGATAGACGTAACATGGAATTTCCTCTTTACACCACTCTAGCCACCTTCTCTCGAAGCCAAAATGACTACTCAATTAGCTAATTAAATTTTACAGCTAAAAGGGAGCCCAGAAACAAGTTCCCTGTGTTTTAGCTAGAAGTTACTAAAATAAATAAGATAAAAGTCTTCAAATTATAAGAAGCTCAAGGTACATTGCCGTGGGTTTCGTTATGGTTTCCTCCTTCTTCTTAACTATTTTCTTCTTCTCGCTCTCTCTTACCTTTCCCTGTTGGGACATTTCCTGTCCAGGTTTCTCTCACTCACTCCCTCTTCCATCCCTCCCCCTCCCCCCTACACTCTCCCCTCTCCCTGCTCCCTCCCCCCCTCCCTTGCTCCCTCCCTCTCTTTTCATTTTGGCAGTACCAGAGTTTGAACTCAGGTCTTCACACTTGCTAGGCAAGCACTCTACAACTTGAGCCATGTCTTCCAGCCTGTTTAGTGCTGGTTATTTTGGAGCTAGGCTCTCGCTTTTTACCCAGGCTGGCCTGGACCGCAATCCTATTTTATACTTCCTGCTGTTGCTAGGATGATAGGCATTATGCCACTGTGCCCAGTTGTTTTTTGTTTTCTTCTTTTTTTACTGTTGAGATGGAGTTTCATAAACATTTTTGCCCAGACTGGTCTGGAACTGTGATCCTCCAGATCTCAGCTTCCAAGTATCTTGAATTATAGATGTGAGCCAGCCAGCTCCAAGGGCTCAAATACCAGCGAGGAAAGAAGGAGTATTTTCCTTTTAGGTTGAGAAGAAAGAGAAAGATCATTGAAAGCCATGTACAGCATAGAAATCGTCTGCAGACCAGGAAATGTTTTTCGCCTGCCTTGCCATCCTGGCCATTTTCAGAGTGGGTTGGGGTGTTTCACCGCTGCCTGCCTGGGGTCACTTTCTGTAACTCTTCTTGGTTTGTGTGCAGGTGGGAGTCTCTAGTCCTTGTGCTGATGTATCTCATCTACATTGTCATCATGAAGTAAGTAAGATATCTCCATAATTTCCTTTCCCAAACCTTCTCCTACACCCAGCATGATGTGATGATGTGGTACAAGAGGGTATTGGCTGGTCTTCAGCCTTCACCATGAGAGACTCGTTCAGCTCCTTGGCAACCTGTTAGGGATCTCTGTCATCTTGATTAGTAGCAATAACAAGGACCTTTCTAATCCATACATGAGGACAGAATCAAAGCTTCCATGTTTCACTGGAGAACTCTCTAGAACCCATGCTCCCTCTTCAGGATCTGGCCACTTTGCCTTTGACTTTCATAAGAAATAAAGTAAAATTGAATAAGTTATATTTCTACATGGGGTGAGGGAAGATAGGACTAGAGCTAATTAGGAAATGACTAAAACCAAGGAGCACACGATTGTGGTACCAGTCATCTGTTGCCATATAACAAAGTACCCCAAAACTTAGTGTCTTAAAACCACAAGCACATATCATCTCACACCATTTCTGAGAGTTAGAAATCCAGGAGCTGCTTCACTGGGGTCCCAACTCAGGGTCTCTCATGAGATTGTAGGTCAGATGTTGGCCAGGGAAGCTTGTATGTCCACTGTGGAGATGGTCTACTCACACAGCTGGTAAACTGATGCCACTTGGCTGGAGGGTTTAGCTCCTCACTTGAGCTTCTTGAGCGTCTTCCTCTGGAGCAAGAGGGAGGGAGCAAGAGGGTCTCTGCCACACTTTCTATGACCTCATCTCAGAACTCCACACCATCGCTTCTGCCATATTCTATTTATTAGAAGTGAGTCACTAAGTAAAGGCCACACTCAAGTGACAAACTACATAGGCAAAATTATATAGTGATTCAGTGCCTGTATTTGGGAAGGCTTTAAATAGTACACACAGTTTACTTCAGTGTTTTCTATTCAATTCTTGTAACTTTATGAAGAAAACTGTCTAAGGCTCTAAGTTTGAGTTCTGAGAGAGTCAGAATCCTCTTCTTCCCTTTTGAGAAAGTGGATCCAAGCAGTGATTCGAGGAGAACTGCCATAGAGTGTCTACTCTATGCCCAACCTTGACCTATAAAAGTGCATCCCATCATGAATTTCCTGGCGACTTCACAGAATGTGGTGGTCTTCAAACACAGATCAAGTCTAAAGGGAAGGAAGTTTGAGGAATTTCACTAGCTTCCCTTCAACAGTCAATTCACCCTTTTCCAGAGCCATCAGAAAGGCAGGCATGGGGGCCTTAAGATAGTGAGTGAACACATCCTCTCCTCTGTCCCACATCACGCCAGACATGGAAGCTACGGAAGTGTATTTCTGCTGATGCCTCAGCTTTACTACCACTCCAGCTGTTCAAACCAGCAGGATACAAATAAAACAGCGAATGGCAGCTCGCAGAATTTTCTGCATAAATTCTGGTCCTAAATTCTAAATTGAAATCTCTGCTCTTTAGCCATCCTCCTCTGCAATCAGAGGCTTTAATCATTGGGTTTTATAAAATCTGATTTATAAAATTACATGCTTCACAATAAAATAGCTTCAGGGTGCAAGCACAAAATTTAAAACATTCAATTAAAAATATAAAACAGAGCTGCAGTTTTAAAAAAAAAAGTATATGTTAGAATCATGGGTTGCCTTCTGGGTAGATAGCATATAAATGATTTTAAACATTCTGTCTGAAGGTCCAAAAGCAATTTTGGATTGGCCAAATAGGTGGAAACCTTAAGGGAGCATGCAATATACATGGCCTTGGCAACGATTGATTTCCATACATCCTGGGTCACTTCCTTTGGATTTGTTCCTCAAATGAGGCAATAAAGACTGGTGGGTAAGAACCAGTGCTTTCTTTTGGCCCTGGAAATGGACCTGTCACTTACTAGTCATGGGACCTTGGCCAAGTTATTCAGTTATTTTGAATCTCAGTTTCCTCTTCTATAAAATAAAAGTAATAATTCTTACCTCAAATGATTTTTTATGAAGATGGAATGTGGCATCTTTGTTACTAACCTAATGTCTGGTTTCAAGAAAGTCCTCATTGTATGATATCATTATCCTATTATCCAAACCTCAATAAGTGAAAAATATGCAATTGTGTTTTAATAGCAAACTCTCATGCAAGTTAGTATTTTTATGGGTAAATGGTTTGTGTGTCAAGATGGCACAAACACTGATTCTCCTCCCACAGTAGGAGAAGGCACTCTTACTGAACCTAGAAAGTGGAAAGACCATTTCATTAAGGAGAATGTTGAGTATACACAAAAGTAGACCCAATAGTATGACAAGTCCTTTGTGTTCATCACCAACCTCAACAATCATCAGCCTATGACTGCCTCACCTGCACTGTATCTATATCCCTCCCTCCATACAATTTTGAAACCCCAGACATTATAATAGATCATCCATAAAACTTTCAACATATGTTCCTAAAAGGATTTATTTGTAATATAGACACAATTACTATCATAAAAGTTAATGCTAATTTTTAATATCATAAAATAATGTTCAAATTTCTAGTAGTTTCACAAAGGTCATATTTTACAGTTTCTTTGAGTCTCATATATCATAAATTTTTCTAAAGTCAGAATCCAAATAGATGATTTTAAAAATCACTCTTTTGACAAACTTTAGTTGTTTACCTTGCAAAGATTCCATGGTTTGGAAATTGTTGATGAGATCCTGTAACGTAGAGTAACCTCTTCCTTTGGCTTCTTTGTTTCCTTATATGTCAATATTTGATTCAAATCAGGCTAGACTCTGTCCTGAATAGTGCTATATTTGCCATCAGGATGGAAATTGATAGTGCCTTTTTCTCTGTCATGTTGGTAGCCATTGATGCTCACTATCTGGATCCATTATTTTGTGAAGGCTGCAAAATATAGTGATGTTGTAATTCTGTGCTCACCTCTTGTTGAATCCTGAGGGTCTTCCACGATTGGCCCATCTATTTCTCTTTTTGAAGCCAACATCCATCACTTTTGACTAGTTTTCTATTTTTCTTCATTCAACGTAGGAACCATAGGTTCCAAAGAATACGGAAAGGGGCTCATGGAAGAGAAGGTTCAACCAGAGGGCCCCTCTGTCTCTACCATGATAAGTCTTGTTCCCATAGGGAACCCACCCAGAGTTGCACTGACAGAAGAATCAGGTACAGGGATATAACAGGAAGGGAGTCCAGAGGGTCTCATGTCTGTAGCACCAAAAGGATGAGGAGAGGAAACACAGGTGGAGTGGACTTCCAGCCGGCAGTTGAGAGGTTGCATGCTGTCATTCATATGAGAGGCTGGATGTCAAAGTGTGGGGACCCCCACAGTAAGCTATGAAGCCTTTAGATCTTTGAGCACAATAGGGGAGAGTAAGCAGTAGTGGTCTACACTATCCATGTCTTTGCCCAGGAGTTTTCATGTGTTTCCTACAAGTACTTATTAGGAATCTTCTAGTACTGGAGAAAAAGAGACAAGAACATTTACCTGTCAAGAACAGCCCCTGTCCAGTTCAGCTGTACTCAAGTTGTTCCCATTATTCCTGAGTGATCTAGAGATCTTGCCATTTCTTATTTTTCTGGTTATCAGTGACTTGTGGCTAGGATTTGTGTTTATTATCTTTCTGAAAATTTCCCTATGTGTTCTTTCAGTAAACCATATGCTACCTGGTCTCTTTTTTAAAAAGACACACTACACAATGATTTTACTCAATCATTTTAGAGAATTATAGATCAGAATTTTTTCATAAAGCCAGGAGCCAATTGGACCTGGAATTAGGGTACAACAATAACAAAGATTCACACAATAAAATCTCTGCCTCCATGAAACAAAAGACAGACAAAGACCTGGACAGTCACCCAGTGTATAATATGTAGAACATGGGGCCCAACCATTACATGAGACATCCCCTTCCCCACCAAGCTAGTTCCTCACAATAAAAACCTTGGAGATGTAGCCCAAGGAAGGGAGAGTTTGATTGTCCAGGGAGCCTTATCACAAAGCCTTCATGTTCAGCCTCAGAGTATGGGAGGTCAGTCCTCCACTGCCATTGAAGAGGTGGCTAAGGAAGCCCTGTACCATTGATTTATATAATAATCATTTTATTTTCACTTACCATAGACCCTTCAGTTGGGAAGTAGTTGTTATGTTGTAGGGGAAACGGGATGATGAGAACAATCATAACATGAAGCATGGGACCCCACTCAATATATCTAGATCACTGGAGCTCCAGGGAGAGCATGGAGGGAGTTGGGAAATGGAGGAAATGACGGAGTGGAAAGTGCTAATGACTTTTTCTTTTACCTATTGCTTTGCTCAGATACAATGCTTGCATCCATCAGTGCTTTGAAAGGAGGACAAAAGGTGCTGGGAACATGGTCAATGGATTGGCCAATAATGCGGAAATCGATGATAGCAGCAACTGCGACGCAACTGTGGTGCTACTTAAGAAAGGTAACCCATGCTAGAGTGTGAGTCCTCCTGCCCATTTCATAGCCACACCCAGGCATTCCCAGCTGGCTCTGCTGGACCACTGCCTGTCTCTTGGAAGAGGAGACAAGGAGGCAGAAGCTTCTCTCTCTCCCACCCTCCCTTTGGCTGCATCATGAACAGTCTTGTATCTGGTAGCCAACTCAGAAGCCCAGTGGAGAGTCTCAGAGAACACATTTTCTGGAAATGATACAGAGAAATGAGGCCAAGAGGACCAATGAGAGAAGATCATGGGTTTTGGGGTATTGGTTCCATCACATCTGGGTTATGTGACCATGAAGCAAATTACTTAACCTCTCTGAGCCTCAGTTTTTTCTTCAGATTAATGAGAATCATTTTGTAATGAATAAATCAGATGAAGTATATGCAATAATTTGGTGTGATGCTTTATAAGTGACAGGTGTTTTTAGTACAATATTACATATATCCAAATTCACTTTCAAGCTACATTAACTGAGTGTCCAAGGTGCAAAAGGAGATGTGAAAAGTGCTTTTCTTTTGAAAGTAATTATTATGTTCAAATAAATAAATATTTATAAATATTTATAAGAACATAAATATTATGTTCTTATAAAGCAATTTATATACTAAGCAAAATAATGTGATACCACTGACAAATAACATTCTTTTGTAGAAGAACATAGGAAAATACAGTTGCTTTGCAGAAAAAAAAAACAGGAAATATATTAGAAACTATACAGATTATTTTCAAATATACCTCTTACTTTGGACTCCCTAGGTAATTATTAAATTTCGAAAAACAAATATTTTTTTCTGAGTATTATATGTAGGTTTAATAAAGATTTAGGTGCTATTTAGAACCATTATTCCTGGGGATTTTATTTAATTTCTTCTCTTCTTGGTAGTTTATAACCATAAAAGGAACTCTTGTAGGACCAAGTAGAGCTACCTAATATTAGTCAGTGTTTTCAGAGAACATTTCATGGTTTAGTGGATTGAAAAATAGGAATATGTACCAATAGAGGCTGTGGCAAGGTACCTGTAAGCTATGTGCACCTGTGACTCATTCACAGAGAAGAGACTTAGGCCATGCTGGAACATTTTTCAGGCCTCCCAGAACATAATTATAATGGACTTGTCCCAAGCTCCCTTCTAAAACTAGTCTTCTGTGTGTATATAGCTCACTAACCCATCCCCTTGTCCACTCTGCTCACAGGCTGGGCTTCAGGAGCATGTACATGTCAACATCATGACTTACACCTGACACTAAAGTCAGTTCTGTAACATTTAACAGCTCAGTACAAACACTGCTGAAGGGAATACTAAAGGTTATTGGGGTCTTTCCTGTGTCCCAGATATAAGTGGTGGGGAAAGAAACCTTTGAGGACAAAGATGAATTCTCTTATGTTATCATTCATCTTTACCATGTCAATGAGCAATGCTTGAATTGTTTCAAATCATTTCAAATAAACTATTAATAAGACCCATGGGAAGGAGATTTTTACTCTTCACCAATTTTTTCTCTATATAACCTTCCCTGGATGCATGGGTGGATGGAGGGACAGGAGGCAGGGAGAGTGAGTAAGTAAATGGATGGTTGGATGGATGGATGAACGGATGCAAAGAAGGGAAGGATTGAGGAGATAAAGGAGAAAAGAAAGAATGAGTGAATACCTCTTTCCTACTCCTGGCCTCAATAATATTTTATTTCATCTGTTTCATTTCCCTAGCCAATTTCCACCGCAAAGCGTCAGTGATCATGGTGGATGAGTTGCTGTCGGCCTACCCACACCAGCTTTCTTTCTCTGAGGCTGGCCTTCGAATCATGATCACAAGCCACTTCCCCCCCAAGACCCGGCTCTCCATGGCTAGCCGCATGTTGATCAATGAGGTACTTGGGAAAGCACAGTCCACCTACCACTGGACAGGGGTGGTAAACAAAGGACAGAAGGCTTCCTGACTCCGAGTTTAATGCGATAGTATCCCTCAGTCCTTTCCCAGCATCTTTGCTCACTGGCCAGCTGTATATACTAATCCATACTCTTCTCTCTGCATGTCTAGCTCCCAGTTATATAGCAAAACTCTTTTGTCCCCTTCTACCTACCTTTTTCCTTTGTTCATCCTTTTAAATAAAGCCCCCTAGTGTAAGCCTGAACAGAAGCAGCTGCTAAATAAAGATTATCTTAGTTTAAAGTAATCCAGAGTCTATGAGCTAATTGTCCTTCTTTGGGGTGACCGCTTTATTGATACACTAATCCAAACACAATTCTATTATGGCTTTCTCACATATGGAAAAAGAATTCCTACAATCTGCAGAAGAAAGATAACCCCACAGTGCAGACGTCAAAGAAGTGTACAACTGGACATGGAATTTTCTGCTAAGGGGATTTGCAATTTCCAATGGTTCATCAAAGGTTACTCCTTCCTCCCAGAGGGAGATTGTCTGAACTGATTATTCCTTTGCGTAATCTCTTAAAACTTGACTCCAGAGTCTTCTGAAAGCGCCTCTTTGTCAGTTGCACGGGAAAGATCCTGATAGCTCAAGTTCTGGGTGTGAGGTGCTTGCCATCTTTTTGACCATGGTAAACATATCATTTTCTCTTTCCAGAGACAAAGACTGATAAACAGCAGGGCTTATGCCAATGGGGAATCAGAGGTCGCCATCAAAATCCCAATTAAGCACACGGTGGAGAATGGAACAGGGCCCAGCAGTGCTCCGGACAGGGGCGTGAATGGGACTCGGAGAGACGATGTTGTTGCCGAGGCTGGCAATGAGACAGAGAATGAGAACGAGGACAACGAGAACAATGAGAATGACGAGGAGGAGGAAGAAGAGGAGGAGGAGGATGAAGACGATGATGAAGGACCATACACGCCATTTGACCCCCCCTGTAAGAGGTCCTATATCTGGGCTGGGTTGGGGAGTTATTTTAAGGCCACTGAGTGGATGCCTTGACTTGGATGAATGTTTTACTATTCAATTCAAAAAAAGTGTCTATGTAAACATAAGCATATTTATATGAGGTTTCTACAGTGGGCAAGTCTGTTTTGTAAAAGGTCCAAAGATGACAAAGATGGTGGCACATGATCACACAGGTTGAAATTTGAGCTTTGATCAAATGCATTGTTTAGACAATGGTCCTCTCTTAGCTCTTCTGCAAGACCTTTCAATGATAAGTAGGAAATGCACATGACCCATGTTGGCAAGGCAGCTTCCTGCTCCAGGGCACAAGTACTTCATTCCCCTTCACCTATACCATTAAATATATTTGCTAGGGCTTTCTTTCTAATGCCAGCACTGGGGGCTCATGCCCAAATTCCTTTGTTCCCACTTCCTATTCTTTGCCCCTATTCAAGTCCCTCCCTTTTCCACAACCTGCTATTTTCAGAGCTGGAGCCACAGAAGATGCGGACTTGGGCAAAAAGTTGGTCTGCAGGTCCTTCCCCAGTGGGGCTGACCAGGTTCCCTGGTATCTTAAAAGTGGGAGGGGCAAGGCCTGTAAGAGTTTTCAGGACCTCAGCCAACAGGGCCAAGTCCTCCTTCCTCTGATTGTTGTAGTTAGACATTTTAGAAACCTTGTCTCCCACCCATTAGTAGAATGGTGGACCAAGCCCAAAAAATTCAGTCTCTGCTTTTCTAGAAGCTTCTGGCTGTTTTTGGGGACCATCAAAGTGCCTGAGGCTTAATAAGCATGTGCATGAGGACTATCTAAGGAAGATTACATGACCCACTTGAAAGCCCATTTAATGGGGGATATGTCTGAGTTTTGTGTTGTTTTGGGTGCAAGAACTTGCTGTGATCCTAAGGTGCTTCTCTCTCTGGGTCCAGGGGACCATACATAAAACAGACCAAAACTGCTACTGAGCCCACTCATGGCTCTTAAATAGAAACCTATTAAACCCCTAACAAAACTAATTAGAAAATATCTGTCCAAATTCCAATGCTCCAGCCAAATTCTACAACCATTGTCAGTTAGATTATTATTTGTCAGTAAGTTATCTTGATAGTAAAATGTATACAGCAGTCCTCCCTTATCTGTGGTTTCATTTTTGTTGTTTCAGTTATCCAAAGTCAACTGTGGTCAATTGTAATCAACCACAGCCTGAAAATATTAAATGAGAAATTCTGAAAATAAACAATTTGTAAGTTTGATAATGAGCTATGTCCTGCTCCATCCCACTCTTTTGTCCAGTGTATCCATACTGTGTATGCTATCCAACTGTTAGTCACTTAGCAGCATGGTATCGCAGTGCTTATGTTCAAGTAACCCTTTTTACTTAATAACAGCCCTGAAGTGCAAGATTAGTAATGCTGGCAATTTTATTACAGTATGTTATAATTGTTCTGTTTATTATTAGTTATTGTTGTTTATCTCTTACTGTGCCTAATTTATAAATTAAACCTTACCTAAGTTTGAATGTATAGGAGAAACTGTATGTGAGGCTCTATACCATCCACAGTTTCAGGCAACAAATGGAGGCCATGGAACATAACCCCTCAGACAAGGGGTTTTCTATACTGGCTATTGATACATTTTGCCACCTTTGAGGATTTTTCTTGACAACCTTCTTCCTTGTTAACCAGGTCAAAATCATCTTAAGGAGTAAATGACCAAACCCTCCATTCCTCCCCTGAAAGCCTCTGTATTTGTTTCCTCTTGCTGCATAACAAATAGCCACATATTTAGCAGCTGAAAACACCCCCACTGGTTAGTTCACAGTTCTGCAGGTCAGGTAGGAAGACCGGCTGGGTTCTCAGAGCTCTCGAGGCCATAATAAAGACGTGACTGTGTTTCTTTCCGGAAGCCTTGGGAAGAATCTTTCCTTGGCACATACACCTGGTTGGTGGCATATTCGGTTCCTTAAGGCTGTACAGCTCCTTCCTGGCTGTTTTCTGGGCCTGCTCACTGCTCCTGGAGGCCCTCTGAGTTCCTCCTCACAGAGCCTCTTCATCTTCAACTGAATGTACCAGGTGCTCACCCTTCTGATCTCTCTGGAATCCCCTTCTGCTTATGATTAGACCAGACCACCTGTATACCTCACTACTGAAGGTCAACTTGGCCATAAAACACAGCACTCATGAGACTGCAGCTTATCCTATTCATGGGTTCTGAGGACTGGCGTGCAGAATTTAGGGGCCCATGTCTAGAACTTAGCTTATCCCACTTTGTGTTCAGAGCCTACCATTAGCAGACCATAATCAAGCTCCCACTTATTTTGCTAAAGTCTTCCAGTGTGCAGAAAATGGCACACTGATTAAGTGTATCTCTCCAGATAGACAATGAAGGAGACCTATGTGATGTGAGACCGATGGTCTGGTTCCCATGCCTGAGCCTCATTACTTGGTGGGACAAAGTACCCTTTTCCATCACTTGTTCCATATTCCTTTCCTGGTCAAGAACAATTCCAGACCTTCCTGTGGAGTTTCAAGGTAGAATCATGTGTCATTTAAGAGAAATTCATGTCTTTAAGTGATTATGCAAACATCATGGAGTGTATTCATATACACTAAGATGGCTATGACATCACTAGGTGATGCAATCTTACGGGACCATTGTCATATGTGTGGTCATTCATGACCGAAAGGCCATTATGCAGTGCATGACTGTATTTGAAATGCCTGCTCACAGCCCCTCTGACTCAGTGATTAAGTTGCAGACAATAGAGTGTTCAGACCTTTGGTCACATATTCTTGGCTCCTTGTGTGTGAGGAGATGTGGCTGCAGGTGACCTACTCCCTGTAATCATGCCAGCTGAGGCTCACGAACCTCATATCAGGCACCAAAGTTCTCACCAGCCCTTCACCCCTGGACATCCTTGATGAAATTTAGTTCCTGACTCAGGTTTGATGTAAGACTGAGGACTCTGCATTTCTAACAAGCTCCCAGGTGACACCTGTGCTGCTGGTCCATAGTTCACAGTTGGAGTAGTCAAGAACTAGTGACTTAGAGTGAAAGAGTGACCACAGTTTTTCTAAGACCTAGGAGAGCCTAAATCAGAGCCAGATTCTACTCTGAGATGAAGAATGGACTTGCCACATTGTGACCTCACTTTCCTCCCATGAGCGACTAAGAAACCCCATCTCTGGACTCAGGGGCCCAACCAGGCCCCTCCCTGGGTCAGACAGGCCATGGCTCAGTGGTAAGAAGGCCAGAGTGTGCCTCAGGCCAGCAGAGGATATCAACATGCCAAGGAGATTCAGACCAGGGAGCCCACGATGGGCCCTCTTGCACCAAGATCCTTTGGCCTGAAAAAAGTCCATCCACACAAAGAGGACGTTTTTCTCTCATGGTAATCCTGCAAGGAAATGGAGCTCCCTCTCCTTGTTACTGTTATGCAGCTTTGGGGTTTACTTCTCTCCAGGACTTGACTGTAGTGGGTATAATTAACCAATTAGTTATTTGGTAATATGTAAATCCTGAAATATATATATAATATATGTATAAATGTGTATATGCATATATGCATCATAGGAATGTATATATGAATAGATTGTGCATATGTGTATAGGATGCAATGTATAAATGATGTATGTGTACATGGGACATGAATTGTATACTGTATACATTTAATGTGTTGTATACTATGTAAAATGCACAGGTATTAATGTAACTGTTCATAGGTGCACATACTGTATGTATAGGATATATAGATATAATGTACACATATGTCATATGTATATTATGCTATGCATAGTTTATGTACATGCATACATACATATAAGAATATACCTATTCTTATCTCTTGAATGAAGAATGCCTTGTCATTGACAGACAGAAATGTGAACACATTTCCATAAAGAGAAGACTAGAAGGAAATCCACCAAAATATAATTATGCTTTTTTCTAGATGGAATTAATTTTTTCTATACTTTCTATTTAAAATGTGCATTTTCATTTCCTAGACAACCAGAACAAATGTATGTATTTAGCTATTGGTCTAAAATATTGCACAATTACTTTTTCTGTCTCCAATTGAATTAATCTTTATAAAAAAATTAAGGAACATAATTTAGAAACAAGGCCTTTTGCTCTTTAAAGTCAAGTCATTCACAAAGGAATACTAGAACACATTCCCCTTGCTTCATCTCCATGTTGCTGACTGGCTTTCATGAAATCACCTAATCATTGGCACATGGGCTCCATGGAAAGAAGTTTTGTTTTCTTAATTCACTGCTGTGTCCCCAGTGCCTGGAGCAGCACATGGCCCAAAGTGGCAAAGAAGGCACCCAATAAATATTTGCTAAGTGAACAAATAAACCTGTCCCTTTGGGGCACTGTTTGGACCAAATGGTAATGGAACAAAAGATAAAATAATGCTCAGAATTGCTGTTGACTCAAAGAGGAAAGGAAATAATTTTTACCCCTTTGTCCAGAAATGGACATTGAGACTAGCTAAAATGTGGACTCTTCTTGTTTAACTTCTCATCAAAATCATTTTTAAATGCCTTTCCCAAACACTTAGTTTGCTCAAGGAGTTATATTTGTTATATTACTCTTAAAGACATATTTTAGATAATACTCACTGAATTTCTACCTTTGAGATTGTCGTTACAAAGGAGCAATAACAAAAAGAAAGCACACCATTTTAAAGACAGTGGAACTGTGCCTTCCAGATATAATGTCCTCACAGTGCCAAGTTGAAATATTTGAAAACAGCTGAGGAAAAGCTTAGCCCTCACTGGCCCTAGCTGAACTGTGTGCAGCTTTGTCTGATTAATCTCATTTTTCCCAGCACTTGCCGTTGTAAGGTCTGACTTCATCTTTCTTCTCTTTTTTATTTTTTGAGGAATATTAAAGAACCAAATTGAGGTCATTTCTCTTCCTATTCATGTGTTTCTTTGAAATCTTTGATTGCGTGTGTATTTTAAACCAAACCATATCTCAGGTTCTCTCCCTGCAAGTCCCATAAGGGGCCAGAAAGGGGATCCTAAGAGTTCCATGTGGATAAAGCCTGGACGCCCCATTGCAGGATTTAGGAACATGTGGAATTGCAGGATTATTTGAGATTCCGAGATCTGGCCATATTGTAGATTCTGTAGTATTTGAAGCCCTCACAAGACAACAGTCACACAGACTTCTTGCTTTACAATCCATCCAAACAGACTCAGAGATGTCATCATCTCCTTGACTGTCACCCAGCTTTAAGTCTAACAATATGCATAACAGCTGACAGGAAGAAATCCTCTTTCCCAATAATTTTTTCTCCTTGCTTTGATCTGTCTTTGCTAGAGTCTCAAACTTTTCTTTTTTCTGTCTGATTAAATTGTTTATAGTAGTGTTATTACTATTAATATTTATTGAGCTTCCTGAAAAGGGCTCAGAGTGCTTGAGTGCTGAAAAAGAGCCAAATGAGGGATGGTATATGAACAGGGAAATTGATGGGCAGGGATCAGATCAGAAAGGCCTCATAATTTGGAGTAAAACCATATCTCCCTACCATAAATGTAGTGGAAGGTTCTAGAACAATTTGCCTTTGGAAACTCTGCCTCTGGCTGCTGGTAGGAAACAGATGCAGGTAGGACATTTACTGGTGTGGGACTCCCCTTCAGAAGCCAGGTCTGTAGCCAGGCCACAGATGAACGACTGGGGGAGTGGAGGCTGTGGAAATGGTAGAAATTTCATAGGTCAGTGTCAGGGTTGGGCATGGGATGAAAGAAAAGGACAAATCAAGAATATATCAGGATTTTGGCAAGAGCCACTTATAAGTTTAGATTGTCCAACCCCTGTGCTAATATCTGATTTGATTCTCCCAGCAATTCTGTGAGCTCCATGTTTGCATGTCCACATTTCATAGATGATAAAACCAAGGCTGTGGGAGTTTAAGTAACTGAACAATGCAACTCCTAAGCCACAGTGGAAACTGGACCCCAACGCTATCTGATGGGGAAGCCCCACTCTCTCCTATAAACCACCCTGCCCTGGCTTCTAAGGGAGACCAGAGGGTGCCAGCAATGATGTTAGGCAATTTTCTATGCAATTGTAAGAAACTCGAGTTTGGTAAGAGAAAATATGAAATTGGACTGTGTATTGGTTCAAAATATGAAACAAATTTTATTAAACTTTGTGTTAACACATTCTCCTTATTCAAAATATTGTAATAAAAATTACCTCCCTAACTTTGGTGGGAATATGAAATAGTTCAATCATTTTGAAAAACTGTTCTCAGTTTCTTACAAAGTTAAGCAAATACCCATCTCATGACCCAGAAATTTCCCAAGGTCTTCACCCAAAAGAAATGAAACTGTGCCCACAAAAAGACTTCCAGAAGGGTTTTCACAGTCACTTTGGTTGTAATGCCCTAAAACTGGCAACTCCCCAAATGCCCGCCCACATGACAATGGATGAACAAGTGTAGCGTATTCACAGGTTAGAATAATACTACAATTACAAGGAATTAATTGCTGACACATCAATAAATTACAAAAAAAAATACTTGTTCAATCAAAGAAGGTAAACATATAACTCTAGTAGATGATTTAAAACAGGAAAAGCTAATCTGTGATTGTCAGATTAAAGGCTGACTAGAAACAGACACAGAACTTTCTGGAAGATGGAGATGTTCTGTATCTCCATTGAAGTGGGTATGTACATATTTCTTAGCAGTGAAGCAGGATGTGAATTAGCAGCTAAGCAGGATGGTAACAAAAGCCAAAGGACTCGAGCTAATATTTGTCAAATCTGAGGTTATAAGGAACTCATGGCAGTAGAACCACGAAAGTAAGCATTTCTGGGTGTCTCTCATACACAAAATGGTCAGGCAGTATAGGGATAGTGTAAGATGGGATAGATGGCAAATCGATCATCTTGTCCACACCAGCAAGTTGCTGGGTAGGAAGCCAATTAATTACTAATTTGCAAATCCTTATCAGCTTGGGGTGCGAATGCTTAGAAATTCCACTAGATGGCGCTATATCTACTGGCGCTTTATAATTTTAGAAAAATTCAGTCACCAAACTATGATGAGAACAGACACAAACCGGTGGTCTTCCTAGCTCCTCACCCCCCACTTCAAGTCCTTTACATACCTACTCTAATGCCACTCCTTTTGTGTCCTGAGTATCTTCCTCTTCTTTTCCCAAACCATTCCTTCAGCCCCACCCTGACCTAACTAGCAGGTGGGCAGTGGATAACTCTTTTTACTCTGGTTTTGTATGTCAGTCTTCTTTGGTGGTAAAAAAAAGCCATGTTTTAGAAAAAGAGCAATATGATAAGATGTAGTTCTGGGGAAAGCAATGCAGGGGCTAGTAGAACAAAGAAACAAAGCTAACTAAATTTCTTGTCTTTTCCTTGCATTTTTCTAGCTGGCAAACTGGAAACAGTGAAATGGGCATTCACCTGGCCACTGAGTTTTGTCTTATACTTCACTGTCCCCAACTGCAACAAGCCTCGCTGGGAGAAATGGTTTATGGTGACATTTGCTTCATCCACATTATGGATCGCAGCCTTCTCCTACATGATGGTGTGGATGGTAAGTGTATACAGGACCCCAGGCATTGCTAGATCTCTTTAGAGAAAGGTAGACTGAAGTAGAGGGCAGTAAGAGTTGAGGCTTCAACCAATAACTGTATCAGCCAGCGATTAGTACAATAACCTGCAAAATAAACTACCCCTGAACTGAATGGTTTAGAATCACAAGCCTTCATTCTGCTTACACATCTTCAGGTCGACTTGATTTGATTCATCTTAGCTGGGACTGACTATCCAGCTCTGCTCCAAGCTACAGGATAGTTATGTTTGGTTCAGATAGTGGTAGTGACCAGGAAATGGTACTCTCATGATGTATCATTAGAATGCAAGAGGACAAGTGGAAACACTAGATATTCCCTAGGGCTGTCACGTGGGACTAATTTACCTTACCATTATTCCTCCCATACTCCAACGGCCAAGCCCAGCACCCACCAGGTGGGGAAAATGCACTCCACTTACTCTAGTGAGGAGCAATGGAAGTCACAGGTAAAAGACACATAGGAAAGTGTGAGGAACTGGGAAAGTGATAATCAACCTGCCCCCTCCCTATCTTCCCAAGTCTTAGTTTCTTCAGCCAGACAATGGCATCATTGGATTAAGGGTCCCTTCTGAGATTAAAATACTTACTAAGTGATTAGCCTGGGTAATGGGGCTGTAGTTTAAACTAGCTCTGCCTCAAAGTCATTTTAAGAAACCCAACCAGTCAGAATGTGTTGTTCACTTAGAACTACGCTTTTTAACTGGGGAGCCTAATTCATTAGAATTGGATTTGGACAGAAATTAAAAGCCATGACAAAAGTTATGAAAATCCAAATTATATTTGCATGAGTATTGGACAAAAATGCAATATAATTCAGGGGAAATAAGAGCTAAAAATAAGGTTCTGAAAAGATTATTTTGGAGGTAATAACAAATTTGTAAAACTGATACAATGAATTCATACTTATCCCTTACCTCAACATCACAAAACTTACTAAAACTGAAGTCTTATAGCCAGGGGTTTCTCCCTCATCTGACATGTTCACTGAGAGCTACCTCTGATCCAGATTTGGAGGACAGGGGCTGCTACCCCTAACTTCAAGGGGCTTACTGGTTTTCTCTGAAGTCCACTAACTGGTGAATTGACTAATCTGGGTTCCTAATCACGGGATTTTGATAAGTCCTGAGAAATGTCTGATAGTAAGGGAGAAAACAGGGAGAAGCAAGAGACCTGGCCTGGTCTCCTTGGGTAATCGGTTCCCCAAAATGTTATACTCAAGCTCATACATCATAATAACAGCATAAGTGCGGCATGCCAATCTGGGCTAAGCCAGACCGCAGTCTTCAGGGACAGAGCTGAGGAAAGGAAAAACAAGGTTCAATCGGGAAGTTTGTAGGTCCAGTTTACAAAAGCTCCTCAGGATAACAGAATAGAAATGTGTGTTGTGGCATCTCCTTTCCTCCCTGGAGACTAGAAGTCAGAAGCCTGAGGCCACCCCCGGGGTAAATTCAGCTCTGAACGGAAATGAGGAGACTTTTCTGGTTTGGAAGGGAGTAAGCCAAACATCTCAGTGGATTTCCCTCACATCCCCCAAACCTCTGGACAGGGAAGTAGCAATTGTAGTCTTGCAGTGAAGTCTGGTTTCCTGTGTTGGTATCTTTTACATCGACCCACCCAGCTGTCAGAATAATGTGCTCTTTATGACATATGGTTTGCATTCGTTGCAATTTTATAGAAAGTGAGCAAGACCCAACGGTGCCCTAAAATGTCCTACTAGTTTTAGGTCTTGCCAGTGTCTTTTCCCTAGGCCCACAAAGAGGGAATTTATCTCTTTTCCCACTTATCTGTTACTTTCTACCAATTCCTTCATGTCTCTCTCACAAACTACTTTCAGTTCCTTCCATCTGGAAATTCAGGGAGCAACAATGGGCTCATCTGCATAGTGAAATCTCAGGTATCACAGGTTCATTTGGTAAAAGCCCCTCCTGTGTAGACCCCAGTGCTGCCTATGCAATGAGCCCATCCACCTAGGTTGGAATCCTCTCTGCCACTTTCCAGCAGCATTGGACTTGGACAAATGCCTCCCTGAGCCTCAGTTTCCTCATCAGAGAAGTAGGAAAGCATAGGAAGGAAGGAGAGAAGTAGGAAGGGAGGGAGGGAGAGAGAGAGAGCGAGAGAAACAAAGAAAGAAACTGAGAAACTGGTGAAGAAGATGAAGTTGACACAGAAAATGGCATTTTTACCAAGCTTCGCAGAATCAATGACAGGAAAAGCTGCCTATAGCTTTTCTGACAAGACTAGATGATGTGAAATCCAGCCCTTTTCCAAGTCACAGAAATTCCCACGATACAGCTGCGGATGCAGAGCTTACATTCTTAGCATAGCCTAGCATCCTGGGTTTCCCAGGACCATCTTGAGTTCACATATTTTGTTCCATTATCTTTTTCCTGAAAATCTATTTCCACAAACTGCCTTTGTCACCTGAAAGTAGTCAATGAGAAGCCTAGCTTTTTACTGAAAAATCTGTATTCTGAGAGTACAACGTCTCATGACCAGTAGGCCTGAATTTCATCTGTATGATGTCCATTGTCCCAGTGTTGATATAGTGAGCAGGCGTGCACCCCAGGTAACTGGCCCAGATTGGAACCTTTTCTGAGTCTTAATCAGAGGGAGCCTGGACAGGTGGGGTCACAGTGGGCCTTAGCTCACTCACCACTTCTTTCTGCTTCTTCCAGGTCACGATCATCGGTTACACGCTAGGGATTCCTGACGTCATCATGGGGATCACCTTCCTGGCTGCAGGAACCAGTGTGCCTGACTGCATGGCCAGCCTCATTGTGGCTAGACAAGGTGGGACCTCTGGAGGTGACAGGGATGGAAAAAAAATAGGAAGGAAATTCTTTGTACCTGGGGGTGGGGTCCATGTGGCAACAAATGGGGCAGAAAATTCCACTTGGAAGGAGTGGTGGGTAACCTCAATGTGGTGGTCAAATGAGCCAGAAGGTTTTTTCCCTCATTTTCCTAGGCAGCACCCACAGCCCCTTCTGGCTGTATTACCATCCTTTCATCATTAAAACTAATAATAAAAATATAGTGGTGGGCCTCCTTTGCTGAGTAAGGAATTTAGGTGCATTTCTTATCAATTTAAACAAGTGTGTGAGGTAGGGACAATTTTACTCCCATTTGGTGGATAAAGAAACTGAGGCTTAGAAAGGCCCGACCCCCCCCACCTAAGGTTTACCAAGATGCACACCCCTCAAAGTGACAGTTGCCAGAGTTCAGTTTTCAGCGTATAGTAGACCCTTTCCTTCTTCAACACCACATTCACTTCCCCAGGTAGATATTCTTGATGGCTGTGCCCTTTTCACACCCACACTCATTTATGTGTTTGATTGATGCTAGAAGGCATTTAGTTTAAGCAAATGCATTGTGCAGCTACAAAACTTAGCACCATGTCCTCTAGAAATCCTCACAAAATTATACTAACTGCATTATCTTCATATTACCCAATTATTCAGAAGATCTAAATACAGTCTACAGCAGTCAGGAAATAATACTAAAATATGTAATTTGTGAGCTTGTGAGTCTCTACTAAATTTGTTCCTTTCAGAAGCATGGCTCAAAACCTCCAGAATTTTGAGGAAAATGTTTGGTTTTTTGAATCAGTGATCATATTTGAAAGTTCAACATTTCAATAGAACGTGTTTTTCTATGTTTTATAATCAGTGTCATTTTTTTTCTATCATTGAGAAACTGGGAGAGAATCAAATATGTAATCCTGAAAAACTACTCTCTGGCTCTTATATCAAAGAGCTGAGAGAGTCCCACATGGGGCTCCTGCCTCTCCTGGGGTCCCCTCCCTCCCTCACTCAAGTGGCCTCTCATCCTTGCAGGGATGGGGGACATGGCTGTGTCCAACTCCATTGGAAGCAATGTGTTTGACATCCTGATCGGGCTGGGTCTTCCCTGGGCCCTGCAGACTCTAGCTGTGGATTATGGATCATACGTAAGTGGTTTTCCCCATAACTTTTTCTTAAATCCAGAACTATATGGAGTGTGTTTTTAGTGACCTTGGCCACTGGGACCATCTTATGACAAAGGAAGTGTGGAAATAGTAATATTGAGGAAGAAACAAAACCCTCTTGTCAAAGTCTTTCCAATGCCATGCTTTGGAGATGTTCAGTACTCTAGAACAGAAGCAGGCAAATGTTCTCTGTCTAGAGCCAAATAGTAAATATCTTAGGCTTTATGGGCCAGATGGTCTCTGTCACAGCTACTAACCCTGCTTATGTAGCAGGAAGCAGCCTAGAAAGCCTGGCAGTTTCAGTACCATTTTATTTATAGAAACTGGAATTGGAATGCTTGTAATTCTCACATGTCATAGTGTGTTATACTTTGATTTTTTTCAACCATTTAAAAATATAAAAATCATATCAACTCATGAGCTATACAAAACCAGTTGATGGGCCAAATTTGGCTCCTGGCCATAATTTGCCAACCCCATCTCTAGTATATTTGTACTTACTTCATCTCATTACATGCTGGGTGATTCATGTAAGAGAGACCCTGAAGAGATGCCATCCAGGTTGGCCAATGAAAGGGTGTCATTCATTGGGTGGACACAGGATTCCAAATAACCCTCCTAAATTCTGCAGGTCAAGAGTGAAACCATTGTCAGTCAGCCTCTTTGGTTGACTTACATCAACCAAATTCACAAGTATTTTATGTCAACAGATAGCAGTAAGGTACATAAGTAACAGGCAGAGAGCATACTTATTTGGGGTGATTTGTTCTCTGTATTCCCATAGAAAAATCTTATGTGGAAGATACTCTTGATATTCCATGACCATCCTTGTTTGATGATCCATCAGAAGTACTCACAGGAATCAATACCAGATTATATTTGTGGCTAAGATTTATTATAGCAAAGGCTATGGAATAAAAGCCACAAGTAAATGAAGAATGTCAGAAGCCCAGAGAGGTCAAGTGCAGGATTCCAGTTCCTTCCTTCTAAAAGTGAACTAGAGGGACATATGTGAGATGTCTCTGTTCAGGGAAGTCCACTGGCGTCTGAGACTCTTGGGGGGGATAGTCAGGTAGGCACAGTTCTTCTCCAAGAACAGCTGTGATAATTGACTCTCAGAGTCCCAAAGCAGAGACCAGTTATACATCCCAAAGCTTGCTAAACAAGCTGGTACAGCATGGCCCATTGGTTCTTGTGTACAAAAAAAAAAAATCATCAGTTAGTAACACCCTGAGAGCCATATTCTCAGGGACTGGCCGAAGCGTCTCTGGAGGCGTGCTGCATTAACACCATCTGCAAAGAAGGTTAAGTTAGACTAGGAGTGCATGCTACAATATTACAGACAACTCCAAAATCTCCCTGGAGTAACTCACAATGGTTGATTTCTCAAATTCCACAGCAGATGTTCCCATTCTGACAGCTCCATGGACTCTTCCAAACAGAAACTCAGAGACTGGGGCTTATTCTACCATCTTAGAATCCTTATTTTTTAGCCAAAAAAGAGAAAGAAAAGGCATAGATTACACAGATCATTTTGACAAGGGCTAAAAGTAGTTTGTGTCTTGTCTCTCCTAATTCCATTGTCCAAATAACACATGGATACTCACCTAGATGCAAGAAAGATCTCAGAAATGACCCAAACAATGTATGCACATGTGACTAAATGAATAATAATAATAAAAAGAAAGATCTGAGTGATTCATCTAGCTGTGTGCCCCAGAAGGGGAAGAGATGTAGGTGGCAGTGAGCACTAGTAGGCTCTCCAGTCTAGTTTGTGTGATGAAGGACAGAATTCAAACAAAAGAAATCTGCTGGGTAACTTTTCCTGGAGCTACCATTGCTCAATGCACCCACCCATATTGGAGGCCTCTTTCTCTCCCAGTCATGCTGGCACATTGATCAATCCCGGCTCTTTGACTCCTTTTTTCTGGGTTGCACGTGGACCACCTGTCCCTTCTGTAACACATCTTTCCTGTTCTCAAGATGAGAGCTGTATTATTGATTGTGTTTAAACTCTCCCATTAAGGCTGGCTTGTCACATACTTAAAATGCAAGTTTTGCCAATGCTAAAGAAATCTCTCAGGTTTCTCTCCAACTGGCTAGTCTGAACCCTCACTTTTTTATTCTTTTTTTTTCCCTCACAAAAATAACTCATGTACTTTATAGAAAACTCTGAAGCAGTACCCACGCAATAGAATCTTCTGTAATGATGGAGAGGCTGTACAGATGCACTGCCTAATACATGAGTCACCAGCCACAAGTGACTTAGAAGCACTTAGTGTGTGAACTATATTTTTTTATTTTAATTTAATTGTAATTACCTTAAGTTTATATAGCCACATGTAGCTTACAGCTGTTTGTTGGACACTATAGTTCTGGAGAATGAAATAAAATTTATCCATATTCTAATCCAGAGATAACTATTGTTAGTGTTCCTCTTTCTAGGTGTGTTATGCAGCTGAGATCACACTACACAAACATTGTGTACATTACTTTTTCTACTTCTTGTTATGTCAAACCCAGTTTTCTTAAAATCTCATTAGAAACTTCATTTTCAAAGGTGGCCTAATATTTTAGCATAAGGATATTCCAAAATTTGCTTAATCATGCCACTACTCTTAGACACATTGCTTCAAGATTTTCACTGTTTTAAGTAACTATGCCTCAGACATCTTTGTACCTCAATCTATAGATTTTGTGGGAGCTTTAAAAATTATACCTAAATTTATATCTACATTTTGAGTTCTTTCTTTAGAACTCCAAGTTGGAGTTGGAAGACCAGGGACAGTGGTTCATGCCTATAAACCCAACTACTCAAGAGGCAGAGATCAGGAGGATCGTGTTTCAAGGCCAGTCAGGCAAAAAGTTAGTGAGATCCCCCCATCTCAACAAATAATCCAGGTGTCGTGGTGTGCATCTATAATCTCAGCTGTATGGGAGGTGTAGGTAGGAGGAGCATGGGCTGAAGCCAACCTTGGATAAAAACACAAGACCCTATCCAAAAAATAACTAAAAGTTCTGGAGTATAGCCCAAGTGGTAGAGCACCTGCCTAACAAACACATGCCCTCAGTTGAAATCCTAGTACTGAAAAAAAAAAGTTGAAATTATTATGTAGAATTGTTTTTCAAAATTCCAATATTCTTTTCTCTTGAATTTGTCAAAGTTTATCCATAAGGTTAGGAAGCAGTTTCATGTACCCACATATTGGTGAGAGTGGACACTGACTTTCATATTTTTGTCTTCCTCATGGCACACACTATGGGGCAGGCATATACTGGAGCCATGAAAAATGTGTGGAATGCAATAGAACCCATGGCAAGTTCTTTCCTGGCACTCATATTCATTTTCACAAGACAGCTACCCTTCACAGTTAGAAGGCTGCTTCAGGTCTGAGAGTGTGGGCAGGCTCATGCATATGACACCCCTTCACATATTTATTTTTAAGGAGAAACAGAATGCTACATGAGCAAGCGGTGGAGACAGGAAGATCCTGGTTCCATCATTCAGTCTTCCCTTATCATCAAGCAGCCTGCTTGTCCTGCTCTGAGCAGAAGCCCTGCAGTTACCATGACCTAACTTCCTTAGAAGAGAAATTAGTGACCCTCTGTCAGCATTAATCTTCCTTGGCAGAGCAGCCAATAGCGATGCCCCCGGCCCAGCCAAGTTCTAGCACGTGGATCTGATAATTCACCACCCACCTGGCTTGTTCCCATTTGTTTCACTTTCTCACTTCCCTCTTACTAAAGTTATGAAGCAGTAAAACTCAGGCCTTTCAGAATTACTGTTACTAAAATGAAATAACAGAAGCAACTAACTTACAAAGAGAAAAGGTTTGTTTTGGTTCACAGTTCTGGAGGTTCCCAGTCCAAAATTAGGCAGCTCCATTGCTTTAGGTCTCTGGTAGAGGTGGCATATCATGGTGGGAGCATATGGCAGAGCAAATGGTTCACCTCATGAGCCAGGAAGCAGAAAAAAAGGAAGGACAGACTGAGTTCCCAAAATCCCCTGTAGTGGCAGGCGCCCCCAATACCTTAGGACTTTCTATAGGGCCCACCTCTTAAAAGGCCACAGCAACAATCAATAGTGCCCCTCTGGGAACCAAGCCATTAACATGTGGGCCTTTGGGAGACACTATATTTACACCATAGCAATCCATATGTTTATTTTTTTCTTTTACTGGGGTTACAGGGTACAGCCATGGAAGGTAAAAATCAGAAACTTTCAAAAACAAAAGTAGAACTCATCCCAGAATTAAGCCAGGCCCTCTTATCAACTCTGAACTCTTCCTGAATGAAGAAAACTCCAACTCAGATGTACACCAGCTATCATAAATAATCCCCCTAGTGATTTGCCATCCTCCCTCTCCTGACATTCTCCCAATACTCTGTAGATGACATAAAATTAAACATTACTCTCATGTCAGTAATTTCCACAGCTATGAAAACATACACTTTCCAGGTCCCAATGTTTATTGATGGGGTAACATCATGAAGACAAAACTTAAGGCCCTATTAGATGTTTGGCCCAAATTTATGTCTTCCAAATGAAAATTACATAATTGGATTACTCTAGTCATTCTGCTGGAATTGTACAAGAACAACTATTAGGCCTGTAATTAATGATGTCCTTTACCCTTGATGTAGAGGGGAAGAAGCAAGAAAACCAGGCCATTCTATGACCAATAACCATGGCATACACAAGAATCCTCATGGAAATTTTGGTTGACAAGACTCTAGAGAAAGTTGTGTTGCTTTGACCAACGCTCGCTAAGCACCTGCCATGGCAGGAACGTGGCAATACAGAAATGAACAAGATAGGCTTAGCCCTCCCTCTAGAGAGGAGCGTACATTGGGTGGGCAGGGCAGTATGTGAGTGAGCAAATACATGTGTGTGCTGACTTGGGAGAGGACATGCCTATGAAGATATGAGTCATGGTGACGTGATAGAAAGCAGGGGCAGGTGTCACTCTGAAATTATGGGA